GTTGCTACACAATGTCATGGAAAATTTTTCCCATCATCAACATCGGACATTCATCCACCTCGGGAATGTATCATAGCTTGATGCATTCAAAAATGATATTCAATAAAAACTAAACGACATGCAATTACAGTAATGAATATTATGCTTACTAGGTTTTTATGTAGGAGATAATAGCACATAACATTAGCGTTAATAGTGAGTAAGACAAGTTATCTGAAACCGATTTTCTCATGCTATTAACATTTAATTTTTTTTTGTTACACAAGAAAATGCGAGTTTTTTTCTACCATAGATTTTCTCACGTCATTAGGAGGAGAGTTCAACATTTAAAATTGAAAAAAAATGAAATTATTTGATTTCTTGATTTTAAAGTTGCTAGGTCAAATTTGGTACTTTCCTTTGAAAATATTTAAAACAAATTTTCTGTTTGTACACTTGTTAAAAATGTCTTGTAAATTTACATTTAGTCAAATAGCAATGCTTTTTAAAATGAATTTGTTTATATAAAATAAGTTGTTTACATTGAATAATTCTTAATTTCATCAATGTTGTTTCTTATTTAGTTTATAACAAGAATTTCAAAAAATACATATCATCGTGCCTGTTGATCACAACAACATAAACTAAAATGTCTAGGTCCAGGCGCCTGCCTAATCCTGCTTATCCTAGACGAGTATGGTCTTTACTAGACAATGGCACATTTCTTGAATGGATCCATGGATGGAACCATCAAGAAAGCGAAAAGGCTTGTGCATGTGTGTGTGAGCGAGGAAGTGGAAGAAAGAAAAGAGAGAGAGAGAAATCGAGAGAGAGAGAAAAGTCACGAAGCTATTCATCTCATTTTTACGTATTTCTTATCGTTTCCATATTAAAATAATTGATAATAATAGAGGAGAAAAAATCATATTTACATTATTGGATGTAATAATAATTCTATTTTTCGAAGGAATATTCATTAAAAGTTTTCAGACTAATTTAAAGAAAAGTTTTTAATCATAAGGGCCTTGGTGAAAATTTAGGCTTTTATTTGCCAATTATTCCCTTTTATATCTTGCAACTAGTATTCATTCCATTCGTAAAGTACAAATTAGACGTTCCTTGGAGATAGTGGATAAAACTGGGTATGTAATACCCATCCTGCTGTTGGTTTTGTTTTGATCGATTTTCTCTTTTATCGGAGGAAACAACAACAAGGGTCTAAATCATTCGACCAATTCTCACAACGGACAGTGAATTCGATATTGAGAAAAAAACATCTTAGATAAACCAGAGAAAAGTAAGTTAGTTCTGCTCCATGCTCCTATTAGTCGTTAGGGATATATTGAACTTCATTAACGTAATAAAAAATGTATGCATTATTTAGTACCATTTAGATATTATTTGGTTAAGCAGTAATTTTATTAAGTAAACGTTCCTAATCTGAAGAGGCTATGTGTCAGGTAATGATAACGATAAGTTAATAAATGATTAATGATGTCATAAAAAATTAAATCAAATTCGGTTGCGTGTGTTTAATTTAGACAGAATTTTCTCTCAATTTTCAAACAAGGTGTTTTGCCCCCAGGACAGACGAAGTATACAAATGTTCGACTATTTATTCAGGACGTGCCCGCCTCGACAACCCTGACCTCTAAACCATGAAATTCCTCTAAAGATCGGTCTCGTGATTTATATCTTCCGGCGAGTTTTGTATTGTGTACAACTAATTCAGTTCGGCGGAAAATATCCTGATTGCACGTTTTCAAAAACTTATCTTTGTGTGTACTCGTGTGTCTCAACAGGGCTTGTCTGGAAGGCTAGACGTTCTGTAATTCCATTTTTTATGTGGATACAACTGTTATATTATTGATGTGTGTGTGTGTGTGTGTGTGTGTGTGTGTGTGTGTGTGAGAGAGAGAGAGAGAGAGAGAGAGAGAGAGAGAGAGAGAGAGAGAGAGTGATTAATTTGTCCAGAACCCCATTAACATTAAAATCTGGATTGAGTAACTGTCATTGTAAAATAAAATAAATGCTTTTTGATCGCTAAAATGGCCTACTGTGCATTTTTATTTTGATGCTAGAGAAAAATATCATACTGATACAATCGTTCATAGATTTATTTTTGATGGATACCAGAGACGGTCCTATTAGTGTGTGGCTAATATAAGAAGATTTCGTATTATGTCATAAACTCTTTTCTTACACATACGATGAGGAGGGGCAATATACAACAAGGGTCATCGCTGGCCCTATGCGCCAGAGTACTCGATATTCCTCGGGGCAGGGTTAAACGATCTTTACGCTAATAAATTACGTTTATTTCAATAATTTAACATAAACAAAACACCTGGCACAAACAAACATGTCTAGTCACAATCACTCCCCCAGAATACTCGATAATACTGGGGGCGGGGTTGAACTAACTCCATTCTCGCTAATAACTTACTTTTACTCTCCAGACGTCACACCCTCATCCCAGAGTAATCGATATTACTACGGGCAGGGTTAAACTGCCCATTTATTCTTATAATCTTTAAATGATGTTTTCTTTTCGTATGTAAATCATTCCGTAAATGTAGCTTTCAAGGAGATACCATCGTTAGTATGTGTGTCACTAATTTTGCAAAACGTCGATTATTCCAAGCTGATTTTTGTTGTTATCTTTAATTAATATATGTATAACTATTTATATTGGTCAAGACTACATAAAGTTCGCACAAGTGCAGAACTTTCTTCATTTTTGTTGGCTGTCACAAAAGAAAATCTGTGTTTAACTGGTCATTGGATAAGAAATGTTTTTGGTGGGACGTGCTGTATTGCTAGACAAAATGCTGACAAAATATTATGATCATTATAAACCTTTTTAAATTTTGTATCTCAATTTCTTGTCAATTATTTATTTATTTTTAATTTTAGTTATCTAAACAGTGGACATAAAAACACGACATTGAGTAATAAAAATAAAAATAGCTTCATATTATAGAAGATAAGAATATAATATCTACTTAATTGACTTTCAATTTCTTTTAAGTATCATCTAACAGAATAGTTTGCTACTGTTGTAATAATTGTTATGTTGTTATCCTAATTGAGTTTGTCATATTGCACAACACTTTCGGTGTCAAAAAGTCTGTCGTTTCTTTCCCCCTGAATTTAGCTACTGTCTGGTAAGACCGTTTGGATTCCGTCATCCGGAAAATCGGTTTTTTATACAATTCGGTCTGCTCCCTTGCATAACCAAAGCACATTTTGTCAGACTGAAGGGTTTCCATTACGCATTTTTAACCTTTTCATATGTAAATACTTTCTAGGGTTCCGTGCAGCTAATGATATATACGGTCTGCACAAAGGAAAATACATAACTTTTCGTTTCTAAGGGGATATCGACTCGTCTTCAGGCTATCGGCAACGAGCTCGAGGAACAGTACAAGTAATCCAATTGCAGCCCACCGTGGTGGGAGAGTAGGAAGAGAGGAGGAAGGCAGAAGTGCATGGGAGTAGAAAGATGGAAGTGACTGGTCCGAAGAAAGCTTCACTTTCACGACATTGGATTTCACTTTCCAATCCTCTTGCCACGCGTACACATCTGAAAATCTCAAGGTCGGCTTCCAACAGAATCAACAGGAAAGCAATTTAAAATGAAATGTATAGAATGTATAGAAAAAATAATGAAACGAAGAACCTTCTGATTGTGTGTTGGACAGTACAGTAGTATGGATAGGGAAGGTGTATCTGTGGGCACTTGTAGACATTTGGCAGAACTAGAGTAATTCTTAACAATTTTCAAACATTTTATAAACCATCTTTACCTATTCGAATTACTTATTACTATCTAGAAAAAATAATAAAACTTGCTTTCCCCCAGAGTGCACAATTTCATTGAGGATTTATGGCTACAATAAATTATTTGGTAATAATACCAATATATACCTGTATACAAAGGAAAAGAGTAGAAAGTTTTAATTTAAATTTATGTACACCCAAAAAAAATTAATTAAACACTCTATACGCTTAGGTCGCAATTTTTATGAATAATCACTCCATAAATAAAGTAAAGAATAGGGAAACATTAAAACGCTCCAAAAAGATATTATAACTAAGAATAAGATTTCAGGTGATTGATCATATTAAAGAAAAAAGTACAAATAGTTCATTGTTAAAAAAGTTAGTTGCAACCATAGTACTTTTTTGAATGATTAATGTTTTATGGCTTGAAATTATTTTATATTAGAAAAATTATCCTTGGATAACAGACTGATAATAATGCAGTATAGAAAAAATGCAAATCATGAATGAAATTGAAAATAAAAACAATATTTAAAATTATTTTTATTTTTTTAAAATTATTTTTTGTTTTGTTTTGTTTCCCCATTACCCATGTCCCTAGCAATTCAAAATTATTAAGTGTAATGTACAAAAAATACAATTAAGTACTTAATTACAGTAAGTATGTAAAAAATTAATTAATGAACTATTAATTGTAGAATTTTAATTTGAAAAGATAAAAATTATATTAAGGTCAGAAAATAATATATATAAAAAAACCCACTTTGTAAGATTGATTTGCAATGTTCATATCAAAAGAAACCCAGTGCAGTGCAAATAGAATATTAATCAATTTTATGATTAAACAATAACAGTAACTTTCAAAATTATTTCCACATTATCGTTTATAAATATGGGTATTATTTATCCGACAAATATTTAAATAACAAAGATACGCTAAATATATTTCTAAAAGGTAAAAATCATGGCCAACCTGGTAATGGTTTAATTCTTTGCTAGCAATTAATAATTTTAATCGACATTATAAAATAGCAAAACGCAAATATTGTTTCTTTTTTCAGCTTTGTATAACGACAATAAAGTAGTCTGAAGACTGTGAATAAATTAAAGGCTGACGTGGAATTAATCGCTGAAGAAGATAAATAAAAATAGAAAAACAGTGTCTTAAACATTTCAAAGATATGAAATACTTGTGTCTATGTAATACTGGTAATGTTTATGTTGCTTAGATTTCGCTGCAGCTTCTTCTAAGTATTTGTTTCTGGATCATGACATCATTGGAATGCCGTGCGTAGATATCAGCGACTTGAGAGATAAGGCAGGCTGAAGATGATCGATAATGATAAAAATTTTCTCATTAGATGTCGGCCACCTTCTCTGATGAGGTTGATATCATCGATACCAGCCGAGTCAAGGTAATAAGAAAGTGAATATATTCAGAATTTGCAGGAAACCACTAATTTTAAACATTAGAAACCTTTCGAAACCAAAAAATAATATTTTTGAAAAATTCAGTCGATGACATAGAAGATGTTCACAAGACTATATTTAACTTGCATTGTTTTTCTATAATTGGCCTTTATAAATATTTCGCCTTTGTTAAAATTAACAAGTAAGATATTTACTGGTTTTGTGCATCTTATGTAAGATAATTATAAAAATTTATGAAAGATAATATTATTAAGAATTTCTGGTTCTAACAAGGGGAGGCTACGGACGTGGTAGCACAGATTTTAATGAAAATAATATTTTGGTGATACTAGGTCTGAAAATATTAGAGCCGAGCCCGAGGTGCCGATAAAATCTTTTAAAAAAATAAGTTAATAACTTTTTAAAATGTATTTTTCTGCCTTTGTTGTGCAGATACTGATGTGTTTAATCAATTTGTTTTCACCTAGGGTAAGAAAATAATATGTACGATTATAATGAATGAGATTAGACATATAAAAAGGTACAAAAATGAAAATGCGCTCCTAGTAAGACAAATATAATATTTTTGTGGAAAAAAATTGGATTCGTTCTAACTATTAAAGCTCTTAAATACGAATATTATGGCAATCGAAAAATATATAATATTTAGGCTAGATTAGTTAAGAACAACTTGTTTCTTCAAAGTCCAGTTTTCAGGCTTAAGTTCCTCTGGATTTGATCCAAATTCAACTTTTATTATAACTGTTGAAAACCATTGCGACTTCTCTATTTCCATACTATTTTAAAACGTTTAGATAATATGACATTGCAAAGGAAAAAATAAGGCTAAAATTAACAACAGAATTTTATTTTATATCTCCAGTTCTAATTTATTTAGGGAAACCAGGCTTGTGGCAATAAACCGCTGTAAGGGTGTTAAGCCCTTGAATCGTCTTAGAAACTACTGTTTCTCTAATTGTTTTAAAAATCGGATGCATTTGGAATGAGAAACATTTGAGAGAAAAAAAATTATTTAGAGGTGATTTAGGGTGAAAAAAGAATATGAAATTTGTTTCTTACTAATCATCTTTCATCGAACTTTCCTTCGTCACTGGGTGAAAATGTATTAAGCATTTCAATATCTGCGATCCTAGAAGCCTACTTTTGTAACTTTTTATAAATCTCGTTTAATACGATCCTTCTTATTACTTTCTTATCCTTGGTAAAAAAAGAAATACTGGTTTGTAACAACCTTGGAATATATGGCCAACAAAGGTAGAAATTGCTTTAAAAAAATTTATTTCTAAATTATGACTTAAAAAAAATATTTCAGTTTTCCCGTTGGCTAAAACGCTCGCTACGTGTGTAATATGTTTCGATCTAGTATCATCAAGTTTCATTAGATTTTATGATCCCACATCCATGTTAATTAAGTACAGTCCAACAGGGTCGACAATATTTTTAATTATCATTTTTTTATAATGTTTGAATCAATCCGGTGACTGGATCAACGCGAATCAATACAGTATACAACAAAAAAGGGCTTTTTAATTCAATGGATCTATGGGAACAAACAAATGTTCTGGAAATAATTTGAAATAAATAAATTGAATAATGTGGAGGATTGGTATGGTTAATATATAAAATGTTAACTAAAAATAATTTAATATTGTACAGAGGTTCTGATTCTTAAGTTAAGTAAACCCAACACAGGCGAAAGAGAAAAGAAAGATACTTTCAATCGCTTCGTTGAATAAGTGCGAAAAAATATAATAATTTAACAAACATTAATTTAATTCACAACTATATATGTGTATATTTACATTTAGGTTGTAACCTTTTTTGTATTTTCAGCGGGTTTTTAATTTTGGGGTTGGGCTCTCCCTAATCATTCTGGTTCGCCTATTATTGCTGATCCTTTTTGGATAAAGGCGTTTTGATAGTTCACATTTGTCGCGCTAGTCCCTTTTACAGAACACCGATCCACTCGAATGTATTTTTCTCCATTTGATTTTTATTAGAAAAAAAATGCTAATGCTAAAAATCGTATAGACCAAAGAGTTCGTTTGCCTGCCTTAACAACGAAATTAGGCTGACCAGATCAAATCGCGGCCAGATTAGAGTAGAATTTTGAAATAATAAAATGTGATCATACTCATTCCTTATTGTGGGAAATCGCAGATCGACTATTATCTTTTTGAAATGTCGGTTCCTTTTTAGATTTATAGGAAATCCGAAGTTGATTGTGAATAGCGGCCAAAGTTGAAAGACCTAAGTAGATATTTTGCAACGTACCCTATGCCGATTCCCCTCCATCACGCCCATTCACAATCTAGGATGGGCCGTCTAATCGAAGAACATGCAGTCGTCTCGGCAGGGAAGTGACTCACGTCCATATAGCGTTTTATGAGCGGAGCATGCACAACGAACCGTGGAACGATTCTTTACACCACTCTCGAAAAATCCTACGGACCGAGGGGATTTTAAACCACCAGCAAACATTAACGCAACATTCATTCATGATCTTGAACGGAAAAGTCTTAATGTTTAAATGTCAGAAAAACAATCACCTGTATTTTTTGTGAAAACCGATCGTTTAAACCGTTTCGTATTATAATGTTCAAGGAATTATCAAAGAGAAGTGTCTGTTTCAGATTGAAACGTCTTTCAAATGAGATCTGGAAGTGAGACGTTCGTTTCTGCCAGTTCAAAACGTTTCGAAAACGTGCAGTGGATGTAAATCGTTTAGGACGTTCTTCCTCTCTTTTCATCCATTTTCCATCGGTTGAGAGTGGCAGTTAAAAGACAGAGGGAGTATTCAGCCGCACATAAAAAAGTGTACGCTATCGACTCAACAAGAAGTAGACTGCCTCATTTATATTGAAATTTTACATTGAATAAGGGGGATTGAGTTTGAAACTAGTGAAACTGGCTATTTACTTACATGCATTCATCTTTCTCACTGTTTTCCTTCTATCTATGTCCCTATGTATTTGTCACTGTCTACATTCTGTCTGTCTATCTCTCTCTTAACCTCACTCTTCCTTTTGTTCTATTTTTAATACATTTCATATTTCAAAAATTTTATACGAAAGGATATTAGCGCAAATCGTTTTAGAAATGTAAAAATCAACATGTGCTCAAACTAGAAAAAGTCACCATATCCGGATTTTTGGTCAAGTAATTATGTACTAACATTATATGGAAATTATGAACACACACATTAAAACTGACACTAGTGTTTCAATGTTTTTGAACAATGAGTGACGTTGCAAAAACTCAAATATCTTGGAGTTGCTTAGATTCAAGGTATTCCTGGAATGTGCATATCAAGTGTATAAACAAAAAAGCCTGCCGCTGATAAATAAGTTCTCAAGGTAAGCCAAAGTTTCCTGGGAGATTTTTGTAGAAGTCTTTCTAACAGTATTAGTATAGTAGTAGTATTTATATAATGATGCTCTGATCTGCCTACACCCTTACTCTTCCAGTTTGGTACGAAGTAATTAACAAAAAGAAAAATATGAAAAAAATCCTTAGAGTACAAAGGCTCTTCTTGTTCAGAATAATCAAAGGATTCCTTACTATCCAGTAACAAAGGCCTACATTTTAGCTAATATCCCTCCGATGTATAAAGATGGCAGAATTGTAGCAAATAATGGAGGAATTTGAACTGGAGGTTGAATTGGCAAGCAGGTTCTACCATTGGCTGCATCGAAGCTACATTTCCACTCTGACCAAGAGTGTTCCGACTTCAAATTGCAAATTTATATTGACAGGATCAGGAGAAATAAAAATGTCGGAAGTGCCTTTGAAGCGTATTTGAATAGAGACCAAGAAGGAAAATTTAAATTATCAGCCCGAGCTGTTTACTACTAATACTACTACTTTGGAATGGCTAAAGGAGTATATTTCATCTATAGGCGAAGATGGCAATGAAAGAGATAACAGAAGCTTCTGAAGATTTCCCTCTGCCAATATTTTATAGTTTGTTACCGAAGACAAATATGGATGGCTTGGCCGATGCTTACAGGGAGGAAACGATGTTGTTTACTGAAAGTTGTTTTATTGTTCTACAGGATAACCCTAGTTCTCTCAGGCTGGACGGAATCGAGCATAGCTCCATAAATTCAAAGTAATGATCATGTTCACCCTTGTGATGGTGTAACAGCAGACATGGAATCATATCCAATTCTAGTTGCTTGCCAATCACAAAGAACTCCTTTTCTCTGAGATCGCGATCGAGATGCGTTCCTTGGCCTCTAACAATAATGGTGTAATGAGTGACAGTGGATTTGTACTATGTACAGCAATTTAATATATTCTATTAACTTAGAAAAGCATTAATACAAAAGAAATGTTTTGTTTTATACCGTCTGTAAATTTCAAAGTGCAAATATAAAATTATATTAAAAATATAAATTTGTGCTTTAAGGGCATGTAATTTTGTAATGTGAAACAGGCAGAAATAAATCATAGTATTAAAAAAATAAATATTGATTTAAGTCTTCTGTAAAGCAAAGGCTCCAAGGAGCCAAAAGCAGGTCCATTTTCAGTTTCCAGTACACCCGGGCTCCAGTATAATATTCATATTTAATTATTCTGTCGAAAAAACTGTATTTGTTAACCATCCGAGGTGCCAACGTCATGTATGCAGAATTAAATTTCTTTCTGCGAATTGAGTATATTGTATTTAGCTTTCATTAAAAATTCAGCATTGTTGATTTTCTTAGGCATTTAATGATAATGATTTTCTTAAGCATAGGATCCCAGATATATTTTTTAGTTATATTACTATTGTTGTTTTAAAACCTTGCTTTCTTTTCGAGATGAATTTTTTCTAAGTAGGAAGTGGTCTAAAACGCAGGTGAAGCCTTTAGGGCATTTCAGGCATTTTTTGTTTCAATCTTTTTAATATATTTAATTAAAGAATAATCGTGCATGCTGGCTTCCATTTATGAAATAACGCAGGTTACAGATGACTGTTATTTTATATTTCTTTTCTAGA